CACTTGGGAAACAAACTACTCCATGGATAGGCTGCGTGCCCAGCAGTAGACAGCCAACAGAAGGCAAACTCAATGGCTTCTTCAGAGGTTCCTTGTCTCATGAGGTCATATCAGGGCTTTTTAAAATTGTATTTTATTGGTTTTATTATTTCTTTATTTTTTTACCCTACAGGTTTTATATATATATAGTATGGCTTCTGATTTTGGGTCTTTACAGGATTCCTAAATGTGTGTACGAGTGGATCTCTGAGTCTGTCTCTGTTCCTTATGCTTTTTCTTGGCTCCTTTCCTTCTGTTTGTTTGTTTTGTCCTATTCCAAGGTACTGGTTTGTCTTATCTTCTTATATTATTATTATTATTAATTATTGTTAAGGGATATTATTATCCCTTAGAAACCCATTTGTTTTCTAATGAGAGATAGAAATGGAGTGGATCTGATGGAGAGGAGGTAGGGAGAAACCAGTAGGAGCTGAGGTAGGAGAAACTGTAATCAGGATATATTGTACGAGAAAAATACATTTTCAATAAAAGAAAATGCCCGCAGTAGGGTGTTAGGAGATGTAAGCTGACTATTATTTGGGGGATGACTCATAAATATTATTACTTTAATATGCTATCTTATTTTTGTGACATTTTAGTAACAGGCGTTTTGTTATTCTAGTCCTATATGACATACTAATATATGATACCTTATCATGTATTTATAATACACAAACGTAAATGCAATTCTTGGAGGTCTTCTGTGCCTGTTTTAGGTGCCGGATAACTGACAGAGACCTGTTTGTTTTGTTTTCTTTTCCTCATTCACTTTACATCCCACTCACGGCCCACCTCCCGGCCAGCCCCTCCCACAATACATCTCCCCTCCCCTTCTCCTCTGAGAGGGTGGGGCCCCTGGGTATCCCCCCACTCTGGCACACCAAGTGTCTGCGAGGCTAGGTGCTTCCTCTCCCACTGAGGCCAAACAAGGCAGCCCAGATAGAAAAACATATCCCACATGCAGGGAACAGCTTTGGGGATACTCCCCCACCCCTGTTCCAGTTCTTTGGGAATCGTGTGAGGACCAAGCTGCACATCTGTTACGTATGTGTGGGGAAGCTTAGGGCCAGCCCGTGTATGCTCTTTGGTTGGTGATTCAGTCTCTCAGAGCCCCAAGGGTCAAGGTTAGTTGACTCTGTTGTTCTTCCTGTGGCATTCCTAACCCCTTAAGGGCCTCAATCCTTCCTCCTACTCTTCCATAAGAGTCCCCAGGCTCCATTTACTGTTTGGCTGTTGTATTTGTAATTCACAAGCTGCAGACCTAAGCTGGGCAGGTTCTGAGCTACTGTAACCCTCTAAGCTGTTTATGTCGCGCCACAGGCCCCATGTTACTAGCAGTTTGAGTCTTCCCTGGCTTCCTGTGCTCCATGTGTGTCCTCATGGTGAATGCCTTGGCAACCTGTTCATCACGACTCCTCCTGGACTCTCTGCCTCATGGCGGCCTCCCCCTTCTCCCTCATGGTCCTGTTCTACCTCCTCTCCTCTGGTCTCTCTGGGACTCCCCACTAGAATCAGAAGTCCCTCCCTATTCTCTTCTGACCAGCTAACTGGCTGATCAGCTCTCTATTGACCAATCAGAAGGTGATGGAAAAGGATGTTTATGAAACACTGAGACGGGTGATGCTTCATAAAACAACAATACCGAAGTCCAGATGGCAGTCAACTCTTTGCAGCTACAGATTTCAGCATTTGAATACTGCAAAGGCAACATTTACCGAGCGCACAAAAGATTATCCCTACACATAAGTGTGAGAATGCATGTAAAAACTGTTATGTTACAAAATGCCAAGGAATTAAATGGCTATCCCCAAAATGAAATAAAATGAACGATAATCATATAAAGATACTAATAGCAATAAATTGGTTTACAAACTGTGTCCTATATGCAGAGCCACCAAGGTAGGGCTGAGTCAGCAAGCACAAATACCAGACAGTCTGCCTTTGAGGTCATGGTTTGGTTTGGTTTGGTTTGGGGTTTGGTTTGGGGTTTGGTGGTTTGGTTTGGTGGTTTGGTTTGGTGGTTTGGTTTGGTTTGGTGTTTGGTTTGGTTTGGTTTGGTTTGGTTTGGTTTGGTTTGGTTTGGTTTGGTTTGGTTTTTCGAGACAGGGTTTCTCTGTGTAGTCCTGGCTATCCTGGAACTCACTCTGTAGACCAGGCTAGCCTCGACCTCAGAAATCCACCTCCCTCTGCCTCCCAAGTGCTGGGATTAAAGGCGTGTGCCACCACCGCCCGGCAAGGTTATTGTTTTTTAAAGTGTGAAGAGTCAGGTTTGTGATGCCCAGCTTGGCTTCCCAAGAGAGGAGGAAACAACAGCTGTTTGTTGAGCACTTATTATTATGTACCAGGCACAGCTCCAAATGCTCACTCATCGGGATTATGTTCTATTACTCCCTGTTATGTGATGAGGAACCTGAAGAACAGAGAGGGGGATTAACCCGCCCCGGTCACACAGCAGAGCTTATACTTGCAGCCAGCGTCTTCCAGGTCCCTGGCTCTTGAGAGGTGATATTTTTCTTCCCAGTGGTCTAGTTTTAAATCTCAGAAGTCAAATGGAATGGCTCTGACACTGCCCCTTCCCCCAATTGTACCCCAAGATTTTCCTGGGTGCTCTGTGTAGAGATGAAGACAGAGAATCCTGAAGCTAAGGTGGGGGGGGACAGAGAGGGCATACCTCCTGACATTCATGAAGGCCCTGGGCATACAGTGACAACTGCCAGCCACACCTGGCCAGCATGTAGTATCAGGGGCCCAGAGAGGAAGTGGGCAGGTCTCTGAGAGCAGAAGGAATCACAGACAGAACTGAGAGGAGCCAACAAAGGGACAGCAAGAGCTGGAAAGGAGCCAGTGATTCAGCCTGGCTGCTGAGCTGCCACCGGTCCTCTACTCTCTGGACTGGCCAAAGAAACTCTGTCCTGGGGACAAATGGACCCCAGATGGGCCCTTTGTGAGCTTTCCTCTCTAATGCAGAGGCTCTGTCGTGCCCTTTTCCTTGGTTGCATGCTGTGCTGGCTGTTCCTGGGTGTCACCTTGACTACATCTGGAATGAACTACAATCCAGAACACCTGGGGTCCATCTTGAGGCCATAAAAAGTTTAGGCCCAAGCAAGGTGGCACATGCCTCTAATCCCAGGAGACAAAGGCAAGCAGATCTCTGAGTTCAAGGCCAGCCTGGGACAGAGCAAGTTCCAAGTAAAAGACAGCTTAGGTCCAGGCAAGGTGGTACACAACTTTAATCCCAGGAGACTGAGACAAGCAGATCTCTGTGTTCAAGGCTCTCCTGGGATAAAGCGTGTTCCAGATCCAGCATGGTGGCACACACCTTTAAACTGGGTTTTACCTTCTGCTGGAGGCCTACGTAAGGACAATGGGGAAAAGTAAGGGTTCCTTTGAAGTGGAAACTTCTAGTTCTTTGAAAAGTCAGTTATGCCAAATGATGTTTTGCTGGGGCACACAGGTGAAAGGATGTCTTGCTAAAGCAAACACGTGAAACACTGTTTTCCTGAAGCAGACACAGGTGAAAGGATGTTTGAATATAGCAGTCACATGAAAGGACACTTGAAGGAATATAAATATGACCCCGCAGACAGTGGGAGATGAGCACTGAGCTTTGGTTTCCTCTGCCTCACTATTCTTCACTAAAGACATGTATGTATTGGTTCATCTTACAAAGCACTGTTGAGCTCAGCTTGTAACACTGTCATTGAGAGAACCTCACCAAAGAACTGCTCTCGAGGTTCCTGTGGCAGCTTGCTGCTTCTGTGGCCTCACCTTAGGCCGGTTGGCGAGCCTAGCGATTTCTTCAGGATTGAACTATAGCTTCCTGGTTCTGCTTGCTGAAAGGCCTGGACTGTAGCTGCTGGTTTGTGCCTGGTGTCTGCCTGCCTAGAGGACTGGTCTGCAGCTGCTGAATCATATTTACTGTTTGCTACTGGACTGAACTGTTACCCAAGAAGATCGAGCGCACCCCCAAAGAACTACTGCTGAGCAGGTCCACTTCCCCCACATCCTAGTAACTTTTCTCCTCCACTACCTCTGCTGGGTAGTGGGCTAGAAGAGAGGTTGAACCCTTATTAAAAGCAGGTTGCAAAAAAACATATGCCTATGTTCCTTCTTTGCCTGCCTGCACTTACTCCAGCACATCTGTTGGTATGTACTCCTTCATGATTCCAGCTTCTACAGAAGACCAACTAGCCTTATGGGACTGGACAACTACTAGACCCTTGGACTTTTCATTCACAACTGCCCATTGTTGGGTTAGTTGAACTTTCGTCCCAGGGAAGGGTTGAACCCCCAAAATACAGACAGGAGCTGATCTGATTGATGCAACTCACAGCGGGGTCTTTATTCTATCCAAGCTAGCTCGGGTCCCTCCAACGCACTGCTGTCATGCAGGACAGTTTGGGTGGTGGGAGAGCCTTGAATATCTATTGGAGCAAGGCTTTATAGTAAGGGGGGCTGAGTGTGCAAGCATCTTATTGGAAAGTTACTGTGGCCTTTAACATAATTGGCTGGTGTCAGAAATCATCATAAACCTAACTTCTGCTGCCCTCTGCATTGATGGCCATTAGGCTAGGGGTGGGCTTGTAACCTGGGGTGTAGGTTTGTTGGGGGAATAACCTGGTCTTATTGAGGGTGTAACCTAGAGATGCTCCTCTTGTTGGGGATTAGCCTAGAGACTGGAGCTAGGCTTACGTTTTGTTGGGGGGCAACTTGGAAACTAATGCTAGGTACCAGCCTGTTAGTCTACCTGAGTTCAAACTTCCGGTCAGGTCCTCTAAAATGGAGTCGGAACTTAAAAGATTTGGTCTCTGAAGACTACAGGCTGAAAGCCATTCCAATAAATCCCCTTAATATATAAAGACATCCCATAAGTTCTGTGACTCTAGAGAACCCTGACTATTACTCATGCCCAGCTGCTATAATGACACACTCTCAAAAGGTAAGGGACTGTGGTGATTTGGATGAGGATGACCCCTACGCTCATGTGTTCCTGTGCTTGGTCCCACATTGGTGGAAATGTTTGGGAAGAGTTAGGTAGCCTGGCTATGGTGGCCATTCTTGGTTTTCAATTTGACTACATCTGTAATTAACTAAAACCCAAGCTGTTTGGCACACCTCTAAGGGATTTTCCTTGACTAGATCATCTGAGGTGGGAAGAACCACCTCTAATCTGGGCCACACTTTTTTTTTTTTTTTTTTTTTTTTTTTAATTCAACCCAGAACCGAAACCCGGTAATGGCGGCAACTACAGTTAGGATTAGGACGAATCATTCCATTTCAGTTGATTTATCCAGATAATCCCTTACAGGAGTACCTTGCCTCCTGGGTGACAATATTAATCTTCACGACCCTTAAATCCTTCTACCGCTCAAACACCTTCCATGGCTCCCTGTGGCTCACATGAGGCGTGTAACCCGGATGTTCGGTGAGGCTCAGATAAGGTGACAAGAGATTTTTATTCCTGGAAATGCGCAGGCCGGTGGGTGGATGGGGCGGTCCCAGGCCAGCTGTGGGGGTCACTGCGCGCCTGCGCTGAGCGGCTCCACCTGCAGCCACAGCCCGCCCTCTGCGCGCAGGATCAGCTCTGGCTTCCTGCGGGGCTCCTTGTCATCCGGCAGAACGCGGAAGCGCAGCAGAGTCAGCGCCAAGGCCACTTTCATCTCGCTCATGGCGAAAGTCTGTCCTATGCAGTTCCTGCGGGAGGGCGGGGTGGGGACTCTGACTGTGCCCTAGACTCTACCCGGGACCAACACAGCACTAGAACCTGGCTGAGGGATCTGGGACCACGCATGGCTGTAGACATCCTCAGAGCCTACGCCAGATCAACAACAGAACAGACCAGGGCGGGATTCTGAGCACAGAGAAGGACTCTTCAACTTCTCCCTGGTTCCCCAAACCTTTGCACAATTCTGTGCAGGGAGGCAGAAAGGAAACTTTAACCTCCAAATACCCCAACTCCCCCTGTCCTCAGCCCTAGGCCCCGCCCCCTCAGTCCTGGCCTCACCTGGGCCCAGCCGAGAAGGGAATGAAAGCCAGCGATGACCTGCCCTTGACGTTGTCTGCTTCAAAGCGGAAAGGGTCATAGACCTGCAGGAGATATCAGCCAGGGTGGGTGAGGACCAATTGTCAGTGTAGCCAGGAGCAGACTCCTCAGTGTGCAGTAAAAGGTCAGAGTTTATTTATCTACCTCCTGGGACGCAGCGAGGAATAGTTGGAAACCCTGTATTCCATCCCAGCACCAGCATAGAACTGATGATTGCAAACCTGTCATCCCAGCAGGAGGCAGGAGGATCAAGGGCTCAGGGTCAAATCCTGTATAAGGACTTCCAGACTAGCCTGGGATTCCTGACACCCTGTTTTGTAAAACCCATGACTGGGGCTGGGGAGGTAGCTGAGTTGAAAGAGCAAACCTAGCAGGCACAAAGCCCCGGATCTCATCCCCACGTAAACCAGGCGTGGTTCTGCACTCCTGTCATCTCAACACTGAGGGGATGGAAGCACGAGGATCAGAAGTTTATGATTATCTTGGGCTACAGGTTAAGTTGAAGCCAGCCTGAGCTACCTGAGACCTTATCCAACAAACAAACAAAAAGACTGTCCTCTTGAGAACCCCACCCCATAACATAGAATTAAGAGGGACAGACAGCACCTCTGGGTCTGGCCACACAGCTGGATTGTGATGTGTCCCAAAAATACATATTCGGCAGATGACACCTGTGGGGGAAATGAAGCAATGAAGACAAACTGCTACAACCTGGATCCACTGTCTGCCAGATCCCTCCTCCCTGATGCTGCAGGCACCTTTAGGGATGACCCGGCCGTCTGGGAGCAAAATGTCCTGAGTGCAGCAGCGGGAGATTGCAGTGACGGGAGGATGCAGTCGGAGACTCTCCTTAATGCACATGGTGAGGAATGGCAGCTGGGCTAGGTCGTCCCTGAGGGGGGAAAAAATAAAACCAACTAATAGTTAACCAGATCAAAAATGAGAGAACGTCAGAGAACTTCAGCTCCTCTGTGATCCAGTGAAACCTTTCTCCCTGCTTTAAGTGCTAAGATGGATGAAATACTTGAGAATTGGAAAAACACAGGCTGACTAGATGGCTCAGGGAGGAAACGAAGCTGCCAGTAAGTCTGAAGAGGACTTCAATCTCCAAGAGAGACACTTAATTAACTAATTAACTAATGCAAAAAAAGAAAAGAAAAACAGAATCCTAACAATAGAAAGGCTGAGACAGGAGGATTATGAGTTCCAGTCCAGCCTTTGGCACACAATGGCACTCTGTCCCAAAAAACATTTATTAATTACCAGTTGGTTAGCATTCTGACTAATTAGTTAATTATGTCATTCTTAGTGATTACCTTATTAATTAATTGAAAGCTTTTAAAATCAGATAATTAAGAGTACCAAAGAAAGGTTAGCCAGGTGGCTTTACAATCTTTTTCTGAGAGAACAAAAGTGTAATGCCAAGGTTATAAAAGTTTACAAATGGGCAGGACAAGCTGGCTTAGTGTTTAAGAGGACCTGAGTTCAAGTCTCAGCACTACAGGCAGCTCACAACTGCCCCATACACTCCAACTCCAGAGTTGTGTCCTACTCTGACACATGCTTCTGGCCTCTGCAGATACTGCACTCACATGCAAATACCCACACACATAGACATATATAATTTTAAAATAAAAAAAACTTTAATTTAACAAGTTGCATACAAATTATTCGTTCTGGAAAAAAAGAGAAACCAAAATACAAAACAGTAGAAAGAAGACAAATAGATCTAAAGCTTTGCTTTTGACATTGTTGCACTAGAGACACTAGAAATGCAGTTAGCCAAGGTGGGGAAAAGGAAGGGAGGAATGCAGCTTGCGGTATAAGGGTGAGTGTGTCCTTTCAGCAGAGAGGCATTGCAGGTGGTTGTTTTGGTTTGGGCTTGTGCCTTAGTTAGGGTTTTACTGCTATGAAGAGACACCATGACCAAGGCAACTCTTCTAAGGACAGCATTTCACTGGGGCTGGCTTACAGCTTCAAAGGTTCAGTCTGTTATCATTATGGCAGGAAGCATGGCAGCATCCAGGCACTATGGCACTGAAGTTGTTGAGTCTTCTGCCTCTCATTCTGAAGGCAGCTAGTAGGAGATTGGCTTCCAGGAAGCTGGGACAAGAGTCTTAAAGCCCATGTCCACAGTGACACACCTCCTAAGAGTGCCACTCCCTAGGCCAAGCATATTCATACTACCACAGTTTATTTCGTTTTGGATTTGTGGTACTAAGGATCTAGCCCGTGGACTTGCACATTCTAAGTGAGTGGTCTACCACTAAGCCACACCTACAGCCCCAGGCAGAATCCATGGGAAAACATCAACCACTAATGAGCCAATGATATAGCTGAAATCTTTAATCTGTCTTCTTTTGGTATGTTGTGATTATTTAAAATGTTAGGACCTGATGCTGCTAAATCTGCAGCTGAAAATATGAACTCCAGAGTGCACCACTCACTCCTGTGGCCCAGCACCACATCTTCCTAAAGGCTGCCTGGTTGCTAGTGTTAGCATTCTGTCTAGCTCCACCCCACAGTTACCTGGCAACAGCCAGGTAGGCCTGGCCCACTGTAAAAGGGGCTGCTTGCCCCCCCCCCTTTGATCTCCTGCTCCCTTGCCTCTTGCTTCTCCCTTCCCCCCTCCATGTGATCATGGCTGCCCTCTACTTCTTTCTCTCTCTCTCTCTCTCTCTCTCTCTCTCTCTCTCTCTCTCTCTCTCTCTCTCTCTCCCTCCCTCCCTCCCTCCCTTCTTCCTCCCCTCTCTCCCTCCCCTCCCTCCCTTTCTATGCCTCTGCTGCTCCCTTACCTCCCTTCCCCATGCCCTGAATAAACTCTATTCTATTCTATTCTATACCATTGTGTGACTGGTCCCCCAGGGGTAAGGGATGCCTCGGCTTGGGCCCGCTGAGACATCCCCTTTCCCCATACCTCACCACACACACCCACAGAACATATTCCATATCTCTTTATCTTTCTATAAACACATCAGCTAGCTTTTTGTTTCTTTGTTTATGTATTCCTCTGTGATGGTTTGTATATGCTTGACCCAGGGAGTGGCATTATTAGAAGGTGTGGCCATGTTGGAGTAGGTGTGTCACTGTGGGTTTGGGCTTTAAGACCCTCATCCTAGCTGCCTGGAAGTCAGTATTCTGCTAGCAGCCTTCAGATGAAGATGTAGAACTCTCAGCTCCTCCTGTACCATGCCTGCCTTGATGATAATGGATTGAACCTCTGAACATGTAAGCCAGCTCCAATTAAATGTTGTTATAAGAGTTGCCTTGGTCATATCTGTTCACAGAAGTAAAGTCCTTTGAGACACCCTCTAAGGATGCCTCTTTGTTTTTTTTTTTTTTACAAGTTTTAAATTGTGTATATGTGCCTGTGTGTGAGTGTATACATGTGTACACACATTTTTATGCAGGTTCCCAAGGAAGCAAGTAGCATTGAATCATCTGGAGCTAGAGTTATAGGCAATTGTGAGCAACCCAACATGGGTTCTGGGAACTAAACTAGAGTCCTCTGCAAGAATCCTGTGCATTCTTAAGCACAGAGCCATCTCTCCATTTTTGATTTTTGTGTTTTGAGATGGACAGGGTCTTGCTATCCTACCCAAACCTTATCTTCAATCATATTATATATATATATATATATATATATATATATATATATATATAATATATAAATTTTTTTATGTCTTCAACTCTTGCTTCAAGGGATCCTTTTGCATCATCTTTGCGACTAAAGGGACTAAAGGTGATCCCCAAGACACACAGCTCACCTGATGTTTCTAAGAAATTCCAATAAACTAAGTTAAAGATTTTCTGGACAACTAAAGACTTGTACAGTTAGATCAATCTGGAAATGAAAGATTAAGGAGAACCTTGAAGAATCTTACAAGGGCCTTCAAGATACACACAGCTGGCCTGCCAGTCCTTTGCTCAAACACTTCCCCTGACTCCCGGTTACCCTGGGTTAAAATCGAAGTCACTAACACCGCTTTCCCAGTCCATTGACACTGGCCCCAGCTGCCACCATCTGGATTCATCACAGTCCCACCACAGGAACTCGAATACACACACATGCGTGCACACACATAGAGATGCACACGCACATGCAGGCACACACATGCACACAAGTATGCACAAACACAAGTATGCACACACATGTACAAATATACACAGAGGCATGTGCACATGCAAACATGTACATGTACACACACACATGTGCACATGCACACCTTCTTTCTGTCTCCAATACCCTCATTTCCTCTCCTCCCTCTTCACCTCCATCTCTCAAAGCCTTTGTACCCTGTGCAAATGCAGACCTGCTCTTCTCTTCTTTCCTCTGCCATCTTTTCTCTTCTCTAGCGAAAAGAGCCAGGAAAGGGGCTCAGAAGCACTCCAGCACCTGACTTACCACTCAATCTCCTCAGGCTCACGGTCCCTCAGGAGCTCCCGCACCTCCTGCCGGCAGCGCTCCTGGTATTCCGGGTGCCTCGCCAGGTTGTACAGGATCCAGGAAAGCCCACTGGCTGTGGTGTCATGGCCTGAAAGGCACAGGCTGCCTGGGATCTCTGGACTGCTTCAGCACCACCAAGTGGACAGCACTAAGGTGGCTCACCCCACCCCCATCCCACCAGGAAGGACACAGAAGGGGAAGAAGTAGAAAGATCCAGTGTCCACAACCTTTGGCCAGGATGCCTAGACCTCAGCCCTCTCTGTAACAGTTCACAGGAACACTCACTTACCTCCAAACATGAAGGTGTTAGCCTCCGCTCGGATGTCCTCATCAGACAGAGCCTTTCCATCTTCATCCTGAGGTCAAGGCAAGAACTTGAGTTTAACCTCTGGGATCTATATAGAAGGAGAAAGTCTTTTCCCTCAAGATGTCCTCTGACCCTGCTATGTGCACTATGGCACAGGCACCCACACAAATAGACACCACAATTAGTTAATCAGTCAGTAATTAACTGATGTGATTTTTTAGTGCTAATAAAATTGAAAGCAAGAGTCTTCTCTCCTGGGAGCCCTTTGGCTTGCATGCCAGTGAGTGGCACTAAGGACACCTAACCTTACTTCATAGTGTAGTTTCCTCTCTCCCTTCCTTCTTCCTTAATCCTGCAGCCATCCCCCACTCCCTCCCTCTTTACAGGGAAGAAGATACAGATGTCACAACTATTGTACATAAGCCCCCAGCCTCTTAGCACCTGAGCCTTGCTGCTTGAAATAGTTGCCGTTAGCCAGGGCCAGGAAAATGGTTCAGTCGGTAATGCGCTTGCCACTCAAGCCAGAGGACCTGAGTTCAGATACCCAGCACCCACATAAAAGCCAGACATGGTAGCCACTGCCTGTGAGCCTGGCACTGAACAGATGGACAGAAGTGGATTCCTGGAGCTCATTAGCTAGCCCGTGTGGATGGTCTGTGAGCTCCTGTTTCAGTGACAGACTGTGCCTCAGAAAAGCTGGTGAGAGCTCAGCGGGGACCACCAAGCCAAAAGACCTCAGTGAGATACCAGAGCTCACACAGTGGAAGGAGAAAGCCAACGCCTTCAAGTGTTCTCTGACCTGTAAGTGCACGTGCACACTCTCACAACCAATCCATCGTCAAATAAAATGTAATCAGAAGGCAAGGCAGAGGGGCAGGAAAAATCCTGCAGTGGTTCACTTGCTATTCTTGCAGAAGACCAGGGTTCAATTCCCAGCACCCAGTTACTGGCTCAAACTCCAGTAAAAGGAGATCTGAAGCCATCTTCTGACTTACATGCATACAGACAAAACATTCATAACCTAAGTCTAAAACCATTTTTTAAAAGCAAGATGGAAAACAATGAAGAAAGACACCCAGGACCGACCTCTGTTCTCTGTGTGAATCTGCACACATGGGCAGAGCCAACCTCTGTTCTTTGTATGAACATGCACACATGGGCAGGGCCAACCTCTGTTCTCTGTGTGAACATGTGTACATGAGCACAGACCCTCCTACACATACATGTGAATACATGCACACTTTTAAAAGTACTACATACACAGCTGAAAGTATTGTATTGCCCAATAAGGGAACCTTGGAATGGGAGATTTGCTGTCATCCTGACTGCTGCTACTGCAGACAGAGCTATTATGACCCAGGGCACTGAGGCTACTGCCACAGTGTCAGAGGAAGAGGTACACACTGCACAATGATACTAACTTCTAAAACCCAAGGTTCTTCAGAGCTTCATCCATGGAAGTTCCTGTTTTATCATTGCTAAAGCCATGGATGCATGCTGTCCTCCGAGCCTCTGTCCTCAAATACCTTCCACGGCTGCCCACCGCCCAAAATCTACCTCTTTTCTTTCCCTCAACACTTTTTTTTAGAAAGGGTCTCATGTAACCCAGACTCATTCTGTTTGATATCCATTGATATCAGACTCATTCTGTAGCCAAGGATGGCCATGAACTTCTGATCCCCTGCCACCAACACATGAATACTGAGATGACAAGCAGGGACACTAGGCCCTGTTTATAAAGTGCTGAGATGGAAGCCAAGGCCTTGTGCATGCTAAGTGAGCACTATATCATCTGAGTCCTATTCTCAGCCCCAGAGGAGTGAGGAATCAGCTCTCACTGTCCCCTGGTATGTGCAAGACTCTGTCCCTGGCTGATGGGAAATGCCACTTACCCACCATGACTGAGTCCCTCCTGCAGATGTATGACCCTTTCCGCTTTTTAACCTAAAAACACCAAAGGCAGGTCACCGAAGACTTTATTCCCTTCTCAGCCAGGCCCAGGTGAGTCCAGGGACCTGGGGTGATTGTTAGGGTCTGGGCCTGACAAATGGGGATGGGAAGAGTTGGCATGGTTGGTATTCAGGGTCTCCTTCCTGCTCTCTGTACAGGGTATGTGCAAAGGTTTAGACTTATAGTTGGAATGATAAGAACAGTATCCCTTCCTTCCGATCTGTGCCTGAGCACTGAGCAGATCTTGGACTTCAGCTCTGCATCCTATCCCACAAAACCCAGAGGAGGTGGGGCTCCCAGGAGCTCTAACCCCAGCAGCATCTTAGGTAAGGAGACAACAACACCCACCCCAAACAGGGAGAAACTGGGACCCATTGGGACCCAGGAATTCACTCCTGGCTGGTAGCACTGGTTCCGTCAGGTCTGTGCCTAAGCATTGAGCAGATCTTAGGCCCCAGCTCTAACTCCAGTAGTAACACCCACCTCAAACAGTTCTGACACAACCAAGACAATAGGAAAGACAGGCTCCAGTCAGAGACATCGCAGGTAGTACTAAGGAGATCCAGATGGTGAAAGGCAAGCACAAGAACATAAGCATCAGCAACCCAGGGTACTTGGCATCATTAGAACCTAGTTCTCCCACAATAGAAAATCCTGAATTCCCCATATCACCAAGGAAGCAAGATTCAGATTTAAAATCACTTCTAATGATGATGATGATGATAGAAGACTTTAAGAAGGACATAAATAACACTCTCAAAGAAATTGAGGAGAACACAGGTAAACAGGTAGAAGCCCTTAAAGAGGAAACACAAAAATCCCTTAAAGAATTACAAGAAAACACAACCAAACAGGTGAAGGAATTGAACACAACCATCCAGGATCTAAAAATGGAAGTAGAAACAATAAAGAAATCACAAAGGGAGACTATCCTGGAGATAGAAAACCTAGGAAAGAAATCAGGATTCATAGATGCAAGCATTGCCAACAGAATACAAGAGATAGAAGAGAGAATCTCAGGTGCAGAAGATACCATAAAAAATATTGACACAACTGTCAAAGAAAACGCAAAGTGCAAAAAGTTCCTAACCCAAAACATCCAGAAAATCCAGGACACAATGAGAAGACCAAACCTAAGGATAGTAGGTATGGAAGAGAGTGAAAATTCCCAACTTAAGGTAGAGGCCTTGTTCTCGATTCTTCTGTGTGGTTGTGAACACTGTCAGTCAGCCCTGGGCCTGTGGTCTTGAGACCAAGCACCATGCCGACGATAAAGTTGCAGAGTTCTGATAGAGAGATATTTGAAGTTGATGTAGAAATTGCCAAACAATCTGTGACCATCAAGACCATGCTGGAAGATTTGGGAATGGATGATGAGGGAGATGATGTTCCTGTTCCTTTACCAAATGTTAACGCAGCAACTCTAAAAAAGGTCATTCAGTGGTGCACCCACCACAAGGGTGCCCCTCCTCCTCCTGAGGATGATGAGAACAAAGAAAATCGGACAGATGATACTCCTGTTTGGGACCAAGAATTCCTGAAAGTTGACCAAGGAACACTTTTTGAACTTATTCTGACTGCAAACACCAAAGGTTTGCTTGATGTCACATGCAAGACTGTGGCCAATATGATTAAGGGGAAAACTCCTGAGGAGATCTGTAAAACCTTCAATATCAAAAATGACTTTACTGAAGAGGAGGAGGCCCAGGTATACAAAGAGAACCAGTGGTGTGAAGAGAAGTGAGCTGCTGTGCCTGTCACTGTAGCACCAGAAGGGTTGTTCCAAATGCTAGTTGCACTGCTCTGTTTGTAATTGTTAATATTAGAGATCAGTAGACAAACACAGCCTTGTCCTCACTGCATGTGTAGTTCCAGTCCAGATCAGACCTGTGGCTGAGTTTCTTCTATGAGCAGAAGTTTCTTTCCCCTCCCCCATTACTCTGAATAAAACTGAACTATGGGTTGGTTCTCTGTGGAAAGTGGCATTTGGGGCTTTCCCTTTTTCTGTAAAATGGGGAAAAAAAAGATTCCCAACTTAAAGGGCCAATAAATATCTTTTTTTTTTGGAATTCAGTTACTTCTTTAATGATAATAATAAATATCTTAATATAACAAAATTATACAAGAAAGCTTCCCTAACCTAAAGAGCGAGATGCCCATAAACATACAAGAAGCCTACAGAATGCCAAATGGACTAGACCAGAAAAGAAATACCTCTCGTCACATAATAATCAGAACACCAAATGCACAAAACAAAGAAAGTATACTAAAAGCAGTAAGGGAAAAAGACCAAGTAACATATAAAGGCAGACCTATCAGAATTACACGAGACTTCTCACCAGAGACTATAAAAGCCAGAAGAGCCTGGACTGACATCATACAGACCCTAAGAGAACACAAATGCCAGCCCAGGCTACTATACCCAGTAAGACTGTCAATTACCATAGATGGAGAAACCAAGATATTCCATGACAAAACCAAATTTACACAATATCTTTTCACAAATCCAGTCCTACAAAAATAGTAGAGGGAAAACTCCAATACAAGAAGGGAAATTATACCCCAGAAAGAGGAAGAAAGTAATCTTCTTCCAACAAATCCAAATAATATAGCCACACAAACAATGCCAGTGCTAGTAACAAAAATAACAGGAAGCAACAATCTCCTTTCCTTAATATCTCTTAACATCAATGGACTCAATTCTCCAATAAAAAGACATAGACTAATGGACTGGATATGTAAACAGAACCCAGAATTTTGCTGCATATAGTAAACGCACCTCAGTGACAAAGACAAACAGTACCTTAGAGTAAAAGGCTGGAAAACAAATTTTCAAGCAATGGTCCTAAGAAATGAGCTGGAGTAGCCATTTTAATATCAAATAAAAACGACTTTCAACTTAAAGCTATCAAAAAGGATAAGGAAAACATTTCATGCTCATCAAAGGAAAAGTCAACCATCATGAACTCTCAATTCTGAGTATCTATGCACCAAATGCAAGAGCACCCACTTTCATAAAAGAAACCTTACTAAAGCTCAAAGCACACATTACACCTCACACAATAATAGTGTGAGACTTCAACACCCCACTCTCAGCAA